GTCCCTGGTCCCAGACTGAGTGCCCACTCTCAAAGCAGGGGAGCAAGTATAGCATTTCCTAGGCACCAATAACATCCATTTTGCTCCCCTTGTCTACCCAGCAAACTTCTGACCCCTCCCTCTGGACCACCTCTCCACCGTAGGAGAGAGGTCCCCTATGGCACCCCAGCTTTGGCCTACCAGGTGGCACCAAGGTGAAACCACATGCCCCAGCCCCAGATGCCTCAGTGAGAGACAGAGAATTGTCTCTGGTTGCAGGCAGCATGCTCACCCCTACCCTGGTGTATGCCAGGCTTTGGGAGGAGAGAGGGGAATCCATAGGCATTGCTTACCATGCCAGGTAGTGACAGAGATTTAACACAGGTGTCATTGCACCATTTATTATTTACCCTCACCCCAAATGAGATAGGCATCATTGTCTCAAGATCATGAAAACCCAGGCCCAAAGTCTTACAACTGATAAATGAGGAAACCCAGCCTCTCAACTCCCAGCCATTGCTCTTCCCACCACGGTCACACCTGCCTCCCTTTCCAAGAGCCACAAAAGCCCCCCAAGCACCTTTGCAGCCATGAATTGAGAGCTAGAATTGCAGCTAGAATTGAGATTGGCTCCCACTCCAAAGGCTCCCAGGCCACCTTCATGGGGCATCCCCCCCATTGTCCTTGCTTCACCTTGAAGGGCAGGAGCTGAGTAAAGCAGGTTCGGTGGAGAGGGGACCCTTATCACCAGACTCACAGAGGGAAAGAGGCAACCCAAGACAGACCCTGGACCTCAAGGTGCCATGCCCACCACACCAGTCCTTAGCGCCTCAGTTTCTCTCTGCTACCACCTTTCTCACTAATGCCCGCACTACGTAGGAAGGAGAATCTGGCATCTGTCAGCCAGGTCTGGGTTCTTGTGGATTGATAGCAGGTAACTGGGATGCTGGCCCCCAGGGGAGAGGAAGGGCACTGTCCCTTCCCTGAGCCCATGCTGTACCTACACATAAGAAAGCAGAGGGGACTGCTTTCCTCATTCTCTTTCTCTCCCAGCCCCAGTGCTCCCAACAGAGATGCAGTGATGTCCAAGCATTTATGCATGTGCCCCCTAGCTGGTGAGGTGTGTCCCGGGCTGAGATGCCAAGGGCTCCTTTTAAGCTAAAGGGTGAGGGTTAAAGGAGGTTGGGGTAAAGGGGCCTGCCTCAGGCTCTTTCCCATACATTGGTCCTAGATTACAAAAATTTGTTGGGGGGAGAGAGGTGACATGAAGGGTGAGGAGGCTGGAGATTGGCAACCCACTGCCCCCTGCCCAGTTCCATTCCTGTGGTATCTAGGAAATCCAATTCTCCACCAAGCCCCTCCAAGAAATCCGGGGGATCCCAGGCCCACAGCCTTCCGCATCCATCATAATGGCTAACACATACAGCTTATTATAAACAGGCACTTGTTAAACCATTTTATATATTCTAACTCCTCCAATCCTCAAAACACTAAATGAGGTAGATATGATCGTCCCCAATTTACAGATAAGGCAAGGAGGAAGTTAAATCAGCAAGTGGCAGAGCTAGGATTCAAACCCAGGCAGTCTAAGTCCCCCCCTAAAAAAAATCCCTGCTCTTAACCATGATAGCATAATACCTGCTAGGGGAACAATACCTAGTTCTTTCATCTGGCTACGCGTCCCCGTGACCAAGCCTCAGTTTTCCCTCTGTAGCACCCTGTGGATTCTCTATAACTGAATCATTACCATGCCTCCTCATCCATGGAGGTGAGGCTGGAGGGAAGTGTGGCTTCTGGGTGTCCCCTGGGCTCTGAGTCTCCTGCCCCAGTGCCCCGTGCTTAAACTCCAGAAGCCAGAAGAGTTGCCCTTTCTGCCCCCTCTGGGCTGGAACCTGCATGGTGGGTGAGAGGGCCTCACTCCACCCCACACAGCCTGGGCAGCTGTACCCTCCAACCCAGGCGTTGTGGCTGGGCAAAAAGGACAGCTGTTGGGCATCTCTGAGGTGGGTCTCAGCTGCCAGGGGTGTGGAGAAAGGCCATTCTGAGTTCTGCTGTGGACCCAACTCAGCTGGGTCCTGCCAACTCCCGCCACTGCACATGGGGGCCATTCTTTTCCAGCTTGGGTCACTGTGCTGGGAGCCTCTTCGCTGGCTTGTTCAGGAGCTCGCCAGCCAGCTGCAGCCTGCACACTGAGGGCTCCCACAGCACTGGTGTCCCCAGGAGGGGCCTGCCAGCCCGAGGGGTCAGCATGGGCAGTAGCCGACCCCCGACCTTCCACTATTCCCAGCCCCCAAATCTTGCTGGCCGTTAGCTGTAGCAGCAGCACTAAGGAAGCACAGGAAGTCCTGAGCAGCCAGCTGAGCCCCCCACCCCCCACCCCAACCTCACGCTGACCCCAGAGGCCGGCGGGCGGGGCAGAGGGGCGGAGTTTGAGTATTAACAACTGGAAAAGTATGAAGAACATCGCTGCCAGTCCCCAGCGCTGAGAAAAAAGGCTGTGGCAGAAACACAGACAGGGCAGGGGTAGACTGGGTTAGTGACAGGGTGAGAGAGAGTTACAGACTACAGACAGGCAGAGAAACAAGGAGAGAGAGGGAGAATCAGACACCGCAAGACAGAGCAACACAGAGACAGAGTTAGAGAGAAATTCCAAGTCAAAAATACACATCACTCACACAGACACTCACCAGCATACGGCCTCTTAAGGAAAGCTTCCAAGTTTGGACAGGAGGACTGAGGTGGGAAAAAGGGCCAGACACATGGTGGGCAGCAGGAATTCAGCTGAGGGAGACTGCGTGTCCCCAGGAAAAGCCCAGGCAAATAACCCAGAGGTGAGGGGCAGCTAGATCCCGGTGAGCTTTTAGGGTAAGGATGAGAGCCACTCCCTAGACACCAGCTCTTCCCAAGACTCCCCCTCCCCGAGAGGCCAGGACAAACCCAGCTAGAAGTCCCTGGACACTGTTTTGAGCCCAGGACTCGGCCCTCTGGAACCCCCCTGCACCCACTATCTTTGCTTTTGTTTCTCTGTCCCTCCAAAAAAAAAAAAAAAAAAGCCCATTCCCACACAGTGGCTGAGCCTAGAGGAAGGAGGCAGTAGGAAGCTGGGGGGGGGGGGAATTCTGTGATTGTGTGTATCTAGGTGCGTGCCTGGTTGTACAGGCGACAGTGTGTGCATCTGGGTTGTCTGGACACGACTGTTAATGCAGACCTGCACCTGTGTGGAGTCGGACTTTGAGGACCTTGTGAACTCATTCTGCACAAGAGTTCATGGGACTGTGTGCAAATGAGTGCACCTGTGTCTGCAGTTCCCACAGTCAGTCAATTAACAAGTGTTTACAGAGCACCCCCTGTGCTAGGCTCTGGGTGGGATCCAGAGCTCTTCAAGTGATTCTCCTAGGTCTCAAGGAGCTCACTGTCTAGTAGGGTGGTATGGCAAGCAATAGAGACTGAGAACATGTTATCAGGAATGCATGATTTGCACCATTATGTAGGAAAGCCTTTTCATACAGACAAATTTTCTTGGGAGCAGGGGTTTTGTTGTCTACAGAACCTCAGAGCTCCACACTAACAGTCCAAGAAAATACTTGTTGCTAAGTTGTGTATTTATGTGTTGACGTGTAACTGCGTCTGCATCTAACTGAGTGACAGTGACTGTCACGGCAGGCAATGATGTCTGTGTGACTGGGCTCATGCGAGCACGTGTGTGCCTGTGAGTGACAGGGTCTTTTGTAATTGTGCGGCTGTGTGCAATTGCTCTGTGTGCATGCATGCATGCCATAGTGACTTTTTCTGTGTGGGTGACAGCGACTCCTCCTTGCCCCTGTGTGTGACAGCATCTCCGTGTGACCCTGTGCGTGGGTATGTGCATGGGTCGGTCTCCATGCTCTTGGTCTCCCGTGGGTGTGTCCCACCCCCCTGAGCTCCATGGTGCAGTAGCAGCCTGCCTCTTTCCTTGTCCCCATGTGGGTGTGTCCAGCAGCTCCTGTCCTTGAGTCCACCTGGTTGTCCCTGGGTGTGCATGTGGCTTTCTGTGTGGGCATATCTCTATCTGCGTGTCATCTTTGCTTTCCCCCCATCTTGGACAACAGCCCCCTTCATCCCCTCCCCCTCCTGGGGCCAGAGCCAGCACTGAGGGGCAGGCTCCCATCTCACTGGCCTTCCTTCCTTCTGCGCCCCCAACCCCCACCCATGGACTGGTGGCTCTCTCCATTGCCCCTGTCATCCCCCCCAGGGCTTTCTTTCACACTGGATAAGGGAGGGCCCCAGATGGAGAAGGGGTACCGGAGACACGTTCCAAGGGGAGGGAAACAGGGGAGGGTGGTACATACAACACAGGTCCATTCCTCTCTTCCCCAGCCAGCAACTCTCCTAATCATCTAGGGACCATCAAGCACCCCCCCACACACACACACACACTCCCCCTCCAAACAGCCGCGTTTTTGCAATTAGGAGTGTTGCAACCAGAGAGCCATGCTCAATTGGGGAGGCGGGTAAGGAGAGGGGGGGACTTCCCTTCCCGGGGCCCATGCAAGCCCACCCTCCCACCGCACTCATACTGCCCTCCGCAGCTGGAGGCAGCCTTGCAAAAGCCACTCGGCCTCCGAGGCTAGGGGTGGGGGGTGGGGGCTGGGGGGGCAGGCCTCCGGCGCACCGTAAACAAACCGCGGCGCGGCGGGCGGGGGAGCTCCGGCGGCCGACAGCGGGGCCCGGCCCGGGAATATGCGCAGCAGACCGGCCGGACAGAGGCCGGGCGGGCCCTCGAGGGGGAGGCCCAGACGCCATCTCCGCCGGCAAACCCCGGGGCCCACCGACCTCCTAGCAACCTCCCTTCCCCAGGGCGTAAGTTGCAAGCTCCCAGGCTGTGACAGGGTCACTGGGGCGCCTGGAAAGGCAGGAGCTGGCAGCGGGCACCCCCCGGGTGCCCCCAGCCCGCCTGGGAGCTGGCCACAGAGCCCCGCGGCTTTGCATAATCAATCGCGAGACATTTGCATATTAATGCCCCCTCGCTCCCTCCTCCTTACCTCGGCGTGGCGCGCTGGACAGGGCTGGGCAGCGACGCGGGGGTCTCAGCGCCCCGTGCCGGGGGCGTCCATGGGGGGCCGGTGGGGCCCGGGCCGCCCGCCTCCTGCGCCCGGGTGTGAGTGCGAGTGAGCGCGGGGGGGCGGGGGGCGAGTGTGGCGGCCCCGCGGCTCCTCCGGCAGAGGCGGCGGCCGCTCTGGCTCCTCCCTCCCCCGCCCCGCTCCGGCTGGGGCTCGGTCTCTGCGCGCCCGGCCGGCTCGCGGCTGCTCCCTGCAGGCCGCCTCGTCGCCGCCGGCCCCCGGCCCCCGCCCCCTGCCGCGCCCCGGGACCCCGGCCAGCTGCCCCACCGCCCCTCGGCCGCCTCTGCCCCGCCCCGCTCGGACTCGCCCTCCTCACTCCCGGCGGCTCCGGCAGGAGTGTACTTGGTGATATATTTTGGAAAAGATGTCATTAAAAAATAGCCTTTGCTTGCTGGGAGAATTGGGGTTTTGGGGTTTGCACCATGGCGGTGGGAAGTATCGACCATCTGCCTGCACCTCATACGTGGGGAGAAAGTGTAAATAACCAAACACTTGGAGGTGTAGAGTTTGTTTTGGAGTTCGGGTCCCTTGCCTACCAGTAACTCGCTGGGTGACCTTGAGCAAATCACCACTGCTGTGGGGGCAGAGCTTCCTCAAGCTTAAAATGCCAGGGCTGGGCAGGTAATCCCTGATGTCCTTTTAACTTCAATCATCCTATGTTTTTAATCCTGAAGGGCTCATTCCTCGTTACTTCCCCTGGCCTCTCATTTCTAACATCCACACCCCATCCACTGCCTCCCCTTTCAAATATCACCCTTCTCCATATAGGCTTTTTCTATTCACTGTCACCAGCCATTTCCCCAACAATCTGCTCCTTCTGCTGAGCTCTGGGAGCAGGCAAGATTTGTGATACCCCCTCAATTCCTAGCTTCAGGCAGGTGTATTTGCTCCCATGTTTGCCCCCACCAAAATCCAAATGGTACCAAGGGGCAATCTAAGGAGGAACCGTGGGCTGCGTGCAAATGGACCCCCTTCCCCAAAAGAGAGGTCTCCAGTATGCCAGCCCCACCCTCCATGTGTGCTCACACACCTGCATTCATGGACATAAAACCATCCCAGTGACGCCAGAGCCCCTTTCATCTCGGGATCTCCTAGCGCCAGGCAGAGTTCTAATTACCCCAGCACCCCCCCTGGCCCCACCGGTTCCCCTGCTGTCATTAGCCCAGTTTTACCAGTGGGGGCCACAACCTTCCCACAGCTTCCAGGGGAGGGCCCTGTCTCCACAGTCTGCTCTTGGGGAGGTGTGTGTGTGTGTGTGTGTGTGTGTGTGTGTGTGTGTGTGTGTGTGTTAAGGGAAGCTGCTCTGCTAATCACCCAGTTTGCATGGGGCCAAATCCCTTGCTGAGTGGGGGTTCTGACCAACAGCATATCCATTTTGGGGTGCCCTTGCTCATCTCTTAGCCTTAGCTACCTTCATCCTCAGTTCTCTTGGAGCCATTTCTCTTATAGGGAGTATTGGGGTTTGCAATGCTTGGGGGAAGGGAGGGTACCTCTCTTGGGACCACAAGGATGAGAGGGCAGCTGTGATGAAACTCATGGGATACAGAGTACAGTGGTGATGTCGAGGGGTATGCAGTGGATGAAGGGAGCCTGCAGTGTGCAGTGGTGGCTGCAGTGGGGAATTGAGCCTGCAGCATGCATGGTCAGGATGGAGCAAGTGACCCTGCATTCAGTCTGGGCTCACAGTGGACGTGCAACAACTGCAGCGTGGGGCAGGGTGCTGCAGTGTGCAGAGCCAGTGCAGTGTGCTGTGTGAGGTGCACTGAGGGTGGCTGTCTGCCAATGGATGTCACCTTCTTGGTGATCATGTTTGGCTGAAACACTGGGGAGCAAAATTGCAGTGTGTAGTGCTCAGGCTTTGTGCTCTACTCAGTATGGAAATAGTCCCTTGGGATTGGGCTGCCCACAGAATTCGGAGAGAACCCTGATGCATGAGACACATTACACTTTGCCTTGACCAGGCAGAACCGGAGGCAATGGAGAGGGCCAGTGGTGACCTGGATCAGGGCAGGGGTGATGGAGTCCAGAGGGGGAAGATGAAGCTGCTCCACTCTGGCTTTCCCTAACACATCCCTCTTTGAGGCAAGGCCCTAAAATATTGGGTGGGGGAAACTTTCTGGAATCCTAGACCCAGAACCATAGAAAGTGAAGTGCCTCCTGATCTACCTTTTTTCCCAAAGGGGCAGAGTGGGAAATCTTGAACTTAAAAGCAAGGGCTCACCATTCCCATCTTTCCCTAACTTCTCTCTCTCTAAGTTCCCCTAGGAACTTAGCGACCCAGATATCTTTCTGAAGAGCTTCTCCCAAAAGTCTGGTAGCTAAGACCCCACACAGCATCGTCTACCCCTGCCAAAACACCCTAGCAGTTTGGAGAAACAGAACAAACCCCTCTGCCAGCCACCTAGGGAGGAGCTCTGTGGCCTGGGGCTCAGTAATTCCCCTCCCCCAACTCATCTTGACCTTCTGGACTCTGGATGATGTCACCAAGGGATGAGGTGTCCAGCATATACCCTTTGGCTCTGCAGATATAGCCCCACTTACTGGGGGTGCTCTGGAAAGACAGAAGAGGAAAATGAGCTACCACCAGCTAAGAGAACTCAAAACCCAGGTGTTTCACCCCTTAGTGATCTCCCAATCAAGAAGAGGTGGGAGTCCCAGCTACTCGGGAGGCTGAGGCAGGAGGATCGCTTGAGCCCAGAAATTTGAGGTTGCTGTGAGCAAGGCTGACGCCACGGCACTCTAGCCTGGGCAATAGAGCAAGACTCTGTCTCAAAAAAAAGAAAAAAAAGAGGGAGCCAGGGAAGGGACCAGGCCTGGCTGAGCCTTGCTTTTAGTAGCTGAGGCAAGAAGTGGAAAAAGCAGCTGACACCTTCTTCAGGTTGTCCTTGGGTTTCTCCTACCTTTATTCCTCTGACACTTTTTTTTTTCTGGAGCATTTAATATGTGCCAGGTATTGGATCCCATTAATGTTCCCAGCTTCTGGTTTCATGTTCCCATAGAGTCCCCTCATTCTGCCTTTGCCAGTGGGGGAGAAGAGAGGAGTGGGGAGGGGTGCTCACCGGCCCGCAGCGGGGCCCCCCCCCCCCCCCCAAGACCCCCCCGGCCATGGTGCAGGGATTTTTTTTTTTGAGACAGAGTCCCACCCCCCCGCCTTCCAGTTAAAGGAGAAGGTGAGACAGTCTGGTGAGGAGGCCAAGACTCTAGAGTGGCTCTCAGGGCCTGGAGGGAGAGGCTGTACAGAGGAAATGGCAGGCTGGCCTTCCTTCCATGCCCGCCAGCCCTTGGGATCACAGCACCTGTCTTCTCATCTGTGCTGGGAGTGTGGAGAAGGAAGGCATCCTCCAGGGTGTTAAGAGGAAACACTCTGAGGACTGGTTCAAATTCTGTCTTTCACTCTTCTAGGGCAGTGGAAAGACAGAGACAGGCAACTGTGGGGCATCCCAGGGCTGTCCCTGAGGTGCAGCCACCTTTTTGGCCCCTTCCCCACATAGATAGAAAACAGGGATTTTGATTTGGGTACTGGTGGGTAAGGGAACTGGTTTGGAGCCAGCTGTGTATGAATATGTGGGAGTGACTCTTTCTTTTCCCAACCACCTGCTGCCCTTAGTGGGCAAGCTTCCAGAGGAAAATGTTCCTCTTAGGGGAGGGGAATGACTCAGTTTCCCTATGGAGAGAAGAGAAGCTGAAACTCTCTGTGCCTTGTGTGCTTACCAGCGATTTCAGTGTTTCTGGGTTTTTGGGTCTGGACTCTTGCCACTTTTCCTTATACTATTTTCTAGCCTAGATAAGGAATGTCCACTTCCCCTGGGGTACACAAAACCCTGTTCCTCACAGCCTCTTACCCTACTCTGACCTGGCTGCTTTTCTGCCACTACTCCAGATGTTCCCATGTCACTCTGCCTGGCCGGGTTCCACCTGTCCCTCTTTCCCAGCCAGAGCAGCCAACAAGATGGAGAGGTTGGGATTCAGGGCTAGGAGGGCAGAGGAGGGAGCTCCGCCTCTACAAGTGCTGAGGGAGAGGAAATGGACAGCAGAAAAACGTGGGGCAAGTAGGAGGGGGCTCTGAGAGGCAGTAGGGGCCATTTTCTCTCCACCCAAAGGGGATGTCAGCATTTCTTCTTTTGCCCCTAGAGGATATTATGGAGCCCCATCCTTGATCAAGTTAGGCGAGCCAGAGAGCTCAAGGAAGGTTCTGTGGTGTGGTAGGAAGAAGTGGTGTATGGAAAGATTATCTCTCATATTTACAGATTAGAGAGGCAGGAAGGTCAAAGTTGAGAAATTAAAAATGGCCCTTGCCCAGAGCTAAGGGAGTTCTTGTACATAGGAGGCCAGTCCCTGGGAAAACCCTGCCAAGCCCAGAGAAAGGACTGCTAGTGGGAGGTGGGGGAATGGGAAGGCAGATGGCCTAACTACAAAAGCCGCCTCCCTGTCACTGCGAATTGGGGAGGAGGCACCTCCCTAGAAATCTGCCAGGCTTTCTGCCAGAAGGAATGGTTTGAGCTTAGAATATCACCACTCTCAGGGTCCAAATATTCCCCACTCCCATGTGGACTGGACTCAACACCCACCAACTCAGTCAAAGTTGACAGCTTCTTTCCAAGAGAGTCAGTGTTGGCCATGAGGGATGGAGAAGGAGATGTAGGATCCAGGCATGGCTCCAGGTGGGGGCCTTAGGCTGCTGTAACAAAAGCAGAATGAGAGGTGGGGAGCAGACAAAGGGAAGGTGAGGAGCCTGGGAGAAGAAGGGAAGCCAGATAGGTGAGGGGCTGAAGAGAAGCAGAGTTTGTGACAGTTTCAAGTGTCGCCGGGTATGGCTGGGGGGAGTCTAGAGGTTAAGTATGAGGAGTCTGGGTTCTTTCTCCATCCTGCTTTGGAAACTTTGGCTACACCTATTTGGCAGCTGGTTTGTGTAAACACTATTCCCCAGTAATGTCACTTGGGCAGGTATAGAGGGAGCAGAATGGAAGGCAATGTGGGTGGGTGTATGGGGAGGAGAAAGGCCATAGGCTATACCACTATTCAGCTTTAAGAAACAACAAATGCAAAGCTGTGGAAACATAGGCTATACCAGCCTCAGAGGGATGTCACCTGGCCCTCTTCCAGCCACATTCTCCCCTTTGGAACAGGAGTCCTTGACTCCCTGTTTAGACCATGCTCTGGAAACCCACAATTTATTTCCTGCCCAAATGGCCACAAGTT